GGTGTCAGATGAAAAACACTATCGCTGCTTAGTCGTAGTTTGGGATACGTGCTTCGAATCCGCTTCTCGAATTCGTGTCCCGGATGATACTGCTTCCATGACGTTAACGGTCGATTATTCTGTAGCATCAGCTTTATGGGCTTAGTGACAGTTTGCTAATGTCGTTCGTTTCGAACTCAAACAACCTACATTGCTGGTTTACTAGGCGTGTGAAATTGTGAGTTATCAGGCTATAAACGCATATTATCATTTCGTCATTTCTCGTAGTGCAATTCCCGTCAAATATAGCATTGAGAGAAAATAAGGTAGCGCCGGTCTCAGACACACCGATGAAACTTGCCGTTCTTGGACTTTTGAATATTGCTCAAACTAGGTGCCGTGCATTCGTTCATTTTCAAACCTGAGGCATGCGTTGCGTAAAATATGACGACGACGACGACGACGAACTTCAGATGTCAGCGAACCATCACACTGGGCCAATTTTCAAAATTAGCACATGACGTTCTTGAGAAACGGGGTCATTTTAAAACGTGACATGGATTGCATCTCTTTCGTGAAACTGCTACCCCAGTGACAAAGAAACGTGGAAAAGTCTGTACCTGAATTGGGCCAAATATTGTCTGTGACCGGAATGCATATTCGAAATTTATGAAATGTGCCGCAAGCGCATCGCACGTACGGGCTACGAGAATCAAGGGTTCGGCCTCGTTCAATTTAAACTGGCCCTCACACGTCCACAGCACATTACTTACGTTAAGCCACAACAGCTCCGTCGTTTCGGTCTCGTCTCCAAGTGTGCTCCTTCGTCCAGCCATGCACACGCTCCTGTCTGCTGCGACGTCGATCGTATTGGTGGCGTTCTTCACATCAAGGGGTAAGAAATTCGATCCTCTAAACAAAACTGCCGATTATCACGACAGTCGACAGCAGTTTTAAAACTCTTACTTTAATTCATAGTGCGATGCATGATTTTTTATTACCGTATTCTTCAAGAGGCAAAATTTTGCAAGAGTTTCGAACCGTTACTGGGTCGTACAAACAGCGCTTCCAGTCGTTGAATGTACTTCCTGAAGTGATTTAGCGATATGATATCAGAAGACGGACTCGGCGCGATCTGGAACATCAAAAATGGCATATACGGTGTCCATACTAGTAAATTCTGCCATTGCTAATTTGATAATTATTTACCCGTTCAAACTAATCAATTAACATTTTTGAAACTGCTGCAGACTTAGAGAACTTTCACTAATTCATTATCTTTGGAAGAATTACATTTAAATGAAGTGCTTTGGTTACTAAATATGCAAATGATCATTACTCTGAATAGTCACTTAAGGAATCATGCGAGCGACTGAATTCCCGTTAGTAACGACTGGGAAAGTCAGTTTTTGTTCAAGGGGTGATAACTCGAAAACCTCGCGATTTCATCATATGTACATTCGCACGGGGTACTTCAGATAACTCTTTAGGCGAGTAATGGCTTTGTCATACTAGAACACTTGATATGCACGGATGCGAACCGGCCCCTCCATGCTGAATCGATGAAAACACGTTCGAACTCCAACTGACATCCCTCTATCCCTGAGCATATATATGTGTACGTATGGCCCAGCTTTGTCTGATCGAAGTGAATTAAGCAATCTTACTTCCTGTCGATTTCCACAGGTAATCAATCAAGCACTGTCCGGATCCTGAGGCGATTTTCTGCTTGTTAGAGGAAAGTGGTTGAATGATTTCATCTTGCTTTAGAGGCTAAGGCTACTCTGGACGGTGGCGCGGCATTCTTCCGCTGGAGTTTGTATTTAAAGTAGCATTCTACTAGATGCAACTGTATGAATTATCAGGTGGCACCCAGGCAAGGCCGAGCTCCTAGATTTTGACAGGTTCGCAGTGTTGCCATAGTGAAACAATTGGCTGCTTACGTGAATCGCTTTCTCGAATTTATATGAGGTAATCGCACCACGCCTCTGCGTCTGTCAGTTCAGTTTGAATAAGCCTTTTATGCAGGCCGTGGATTCATTCTATCCATTTACAGCCGCATAACCTTGTACTTATGATTTCGAGATTCTGTCAGAGGCTCAACTTTGTTTCCAGCAGTTTATTAAACGTCAGAGACATGGTTTATTCAGACGCGTTGAAGAATACGAAACCAGCATAAAATGAGGAGAAAAAGCTGTAATTTCAATTCACCCAATTTTTGCGTGATTAATTCACCATTTCGCGTGGCCTTAAAATTTTTCTGCAGCTTGCCGTTGACGCTTTCTACAACGTTTCTTTTCCTTTCGGTCACGGAAAGCATCGTCTTTGAACGTCACCCACTTTGCATATGTCGCAAATCATTCTGCCCTACTTCTTGGAGGTTAAGGTGGAAATATGCTCTTGCACAGTTGTCATTTACAAACAGCCATCCACCTTCATAACTCATTGGTCGTCATGGGAAGCAGGGCTAAGGTGCCTTAACAAAGTTCTACCAAGGTTCGGCAACCGCACGTCTACGGGTTAAATTCAAAGGCACAACTGCTCCAAGCTTTCGACGTATTCAAGCCCTCTGACAGTGGACTTCGAACTGCACCTCGGATGCTTGCCATGTGGCTTTTCGAAATTAAGCCAAATTGCTCAACTTCTTTCTGGCATCCTGACCAGACTGTGACGCTTTCTTTCAACTATGGTAGCAGGCAGTCTGAACAACAGCTACATCTGAAAAAACACCATATAAACTTGTTAATCAGCCATGAACTAAGGTAAATGAACTGTCTGCCTCAATTTAGAGGGATACCTCACAGTATGGTGACCTCGTTGTTATTCAGTTCAGATTTTTTTGCCATTGCAACCTTAGTACAAGTACATTTGCAAGAACGGGATACCGGTTTTATCTGCTTTGCAAGTCCACTTCGAGTTTCTGCCAAGTTGTAGCACCTATCGCAGTGACAATTGAGAAACACGTGTGGCCGAACTCCTCATTCACATATGAATTGCTTCCGAGTCTTTGAATCCTTTTGAGGCTACGACACTCGCTGTATTTTATACTGGGGACCAAAGAGTCACTGCCACCGCTCAAATGAAACGTCAACTCTAAAGTAGTATCACCATCACAAGTTGCGCATAACTCCTGTACGACGAGATGCCATGGCGTATTGCATTGCCCCTTTTGTCTTAACTGCTTTGAAGCACCATTTAAGAAGGTCAAAGTTCCATGAAATTTAAGCACTTGCCATCTGTCATCTGCAGCTCGTATCGTTCTGTTTACTAGAGGAACATCATGGCCATTATGAAAGATATTTCAGGAGCTACTATTTCCTCAAAGCCATAACTGAAACATCAGGTATGTCCTTAGAGTGTCATACACATATATTTTACACATATTCCGGCAAACGAAGAAATTTTTCTGCGCATCAGCAGCTACTCTGCGCCTTAACTACAAGGCTGTACTACCTTGAGTATGCTGCATCGAGCGCACGACACGATGGAGTGAAAATTTCGATGTCAGTTGAATGCATCGGACAAGGTTAGGCAGGATATTAAAAAGATTCACGTTATTGTATTCAATTCATAAATTAAAATTTGTGTAATGAACCATTAAGTTTGCGATTCAAATTCTTTCACCAAAAAATAAAATAATTATAATGATTCAGGCATTAAAGAAATTCAATTGATATACATATATACTGGCATATATACGTTTAGAGCTATACTTGAGTTGTCATGGTTGGTAAGCTGTACACTTACCGTACAAGTAGTAATCCATTTATATCGGTATGGACTGAAATTCGTGATTCTGTCCATAAGCGTAGTCCACTCCGCCATTCGGTATTTTCCGAAACTGATTTGTGGTTCAGTCAATGCTGGTGACGTGGTTTTAATGAAATATTACTGAGCCTATCCATACACTAATGCCTCAGCATCGTCTCTTGTATGCTCAGATAGACCTCAGCTTTGATCTAGGCTGAAGCTCAGGGAAAAATACGGTACAACTGCACATTATCAGAATAAACTGAAAATCAAATGAGTTTAACAATTTTGACTCCATGCCATAACTGACGGATTATCACTCTGGACATTAGCATACATAACGAAGCCTGAAATTCAGGATTCCACCAGCTAACAGGCATAAAATGGCACAGGCAGTATTGCCGATGTAAAGTAAGCTACTATGCCTAAAACTGAATGCCATTGCTTTAGTCGACTGCTGCTCGTCTACTGATAAAGATGGTATATCAAAATTGCGAAGTTATTTTGGCTTGAATCTTTACCTGACGATGACTGATTACATTGGTAAGTGAAACAGAGGTGAATAGGCATTCGAAGGCTTGGTGATGATTTGCTTTTGTTGAATAGGATCAAAAACATACCGCTCTAAAGTCAAGTCCGCGCAGGACCTGAACTGTGATTTTGAGAACCCTGCTCAATGCATGTGGCGCAACTACGCAAACCCGTCCACTAAGGGATCCATGAACCGCTGGCTGGTTGCTGAAAAAGTCGACAACAGAGACTGGAAGAATCTCCACATCAACCCAAAGATTACTCCAGCAATGGGTACGAGCCATCGTTCATCCATAATCATTTACGTCATAAACTTTGCTTTCAGGATCGCACGTGATTCTCTCTGGTAAGGCTTCGCCGATGTCCCCCGAAACGGTGATTCTGATAAGTCACGAAATACCGAACCAGTCGAACTTCGGAACACTTAAGTTCGAGTACGTTGATTGTTCGTGTTGCATTGAAATCACGCCCTAACCGTTTCATTCTGTTCTAGCTATTGGATCATCAACCAGGGCTATTTGAAGGTGTCCGTAATTGCTGATTCGCCATTCAAGCATCAGCGACACTACGTCCTACTGGAGAAACGCTTCAGCTGTAAACAAACGATTCTATGCCGCATAATGGCCTGCGGCGACTGCTCCGCGGGTGTGCTCGAAATCCCGCCCATAGATCATCCCTTTAAGGTAAAAATAGTTAAATTTCCTCAAGGCAGAGCCGTTATGTATTCGAGTGTCTGCAGCAAAAGTATTTTGCTTATCCAGAATAAGGGTGTGACTTTGTGTAATGGAAAGTTATGGATTCGAACAGAAACCGTATGCAACTCAGACTTCATATTACAGACTTCCTCTTTAGCATTAGAAATGTTAGAAAGCAAAGCATTTATAGGTGCCACGTGACAGCAACACAATAAAAATATTTCCGGCTTTATGAAATGGGCGTCTTCTAATTTTATGAATGGTAACAAGACAACAAATTAATAAGTTTAAGAAAACACATCCAATGTGTCGACCAAATGGCGTACGTTATGATGAGAGAATAGAAAATTAAATGTGCAGCAGAATTAGGCTAGCTGATGTTTGATCAAACTGACGCAATGAGTGACAAAGCAAAAAAGGAATCAAACGTTTTGATCCATTGGACTGTCGGC